TTCCACACGTTAAGAGTTAAACATTTATTGTATGTACCTCTTCTGTCGTCCTCATACTTCGGTTTGTGGTCTTCATGGATGATGCCTTCTTTCATCTCCACATTAAGCTGTAACTTCATCCTCTTCGACCTCCATCGAACCTTCAACTTTCTTCTCCTCCATCATGCTTGCAGTATTATCTTCCTCTTCTTCCGTTCTGCTGTACTACGCAACTCTAATTTCTTCCATTTGACTCTTCCTCGTTCTTTCAAGGCTTCCTCAAGTACTATATTACATTCAACCGTACTTGTCGCTCTGACTCTTCTTGAATGCTAGTAAGCCTCTCACCGTATCTACTATCTCTTCTCACTTCCTCTTCTTGGCTATCACTCCTCTACACTTTCTCTCCTTCATACTTCCCATGAAATGTGACAACTTGACATCTCACACCACTCAACTTCATCATCCCTACACTTTTGTTCCCGTGGACAACTTGTCACTCTATTCTCGTCCTTAGTCTGTCCAGATTCTTCTTCACTTCTGTTCAACACTGTTATCTCCACTTTCTGGTTCTTGAATTCGGCATGCTGGACTCTAATCAGGTCCACTCTGTTCACACTCTATTTCTCCAGCAGAGTCATCTTCCCCTCTGACCTCGCCATGACATCATCTTCACGAGCTGGACTTTCACCAAACAGCCCTGCTATCTCTACGTTGGTTTCTTCCCTCAGTGGAGTCAACACTGTCGCATCACCTCCATTGTCTCCCTCGTCGGCAACCTCTGCCCTGGTGATGCGTATATTGTATACCCTCTGCCTGTATACCCAGCCAGGGTATACAATGACTTGGCTGTCGTCTGACTCATCCTCTAAGATGCTAGCCAGGTCTACTCTGTTAGGTGTCCAATCAGGACCGTGGACCTTCTGGCACTCCTCCGACACAGCTTTCACTATGAGCTCAAGTAACACCTTTGACCCACACAAGTCATTATCCAGGATCATTTGTATCCCTGGAACAGGTATGTCAGGACACTCTCAAAATCACCTCCGCTGACAAATATTCAGACCTCAGTCTGACAGCACATATGGGCATGTCACTCTCCAACAATAACCCATGCACCTTAATTCTCTGACTGTCAGCTAAAAGTCGTTCATCCCAGATGAGGCTTCATTGAATCAAGCTCTGATTCGCTCCCGTATCTCTGAGGATTCTCACTTCTGTCTCAGGTTGGCCTCCTATGCTGACCTAACTTTTACTGATGAACGGACTTTATCTCTCGTTCATTAATCTCTCTTTCTGCGGTTTGTCTTTTATTAAACTCACACATGAGTTTCGGGGGTCACACATTGCCAGGGTCACAACTTTCTTACCCTGTCTACAATATCTCATCATGTAACCATATCTGTTACATTTGTAGCATCTTACCTGGGAGATGTTCCTTCTCCGTGCCTTGAGTGGCTTTGGTTCTGTCCACTCGTGTTACAGCCTCTCACGGTTTCTAATTTAACTTCTTCATCCTCACTTTCTGATGAGGCATACGACCTCCTTTTCTGATTTTTATGGTGCTTTTGTTTATTTGCCTGTCTACCATAATATTTTTCACCCCAGACTTCACTGGGTCCGCCATAATTAAACGCACATTGCTCTTCATTTTACATTCTCTCAGGCTCTGACAGGCTTCCATAATCATATCTGCCCTATCTGCTGCATCTCTCACATTCCTCACTCTTGCCTCTTGGATTTTGAATTTCGTCACAGGGTGTATCATTTCTAGGAACTTCTCCATTATCATTAACTGTTTCAAATCATTATATTATTCCACCCCAACAGCTTCAATTCATCTATGGAAACGTCTTTCTAGGTCCCTCGCTGTCTCGGCGAACGTGCTGGCTGGGGCTTTCATCATCTCTTTTATTTACATAAAGATATAGACAAGAAAATATGTAAAAGTTATATTACCGTGCAGCACCCTGAGCTGCTACCAACCTGTTGCTCAATCTTCACCTCACAACCTACTGCCCCCTCACTGCTCGGGGCTGAAATATTTTGTATAACTATGTATTTATATCTCCGACAAAAAGAAATCAATCTCTCACCTTTCATGCCAATATGCAATCAACCACTCTATCATACTTCAATGTGTCCATGTGATTCTCTGTTCTATTCCTCGAGGCCCACTACTAAGAATATCTATCTGGGTTCTCAAAATCAGGTAGATACTCCTGCAGTTCTTCCAATCTGCTGTACATGAAGTCCACTCGAATGTCAGTGAAGCTCCTCCAAACTACTACACAAAAAATACATGTAGCTCCCCTACACTACAAGTTCCACTCTATCAATGGAGTTCTAATCCTCAACCAGAAGTCCTGCTCCACACTTGCAATTCAGCTCCCACTTGGAGCTCAGCATATTCTCTCTTTCAGTTGCGAAGTTCCTTCATTAACTTCTCCCATACAAACCACAGAATTTAGGACGTGAGGGCGCTCACTCTCTGGCACTCCAAGATGGCGTCACTCTTGGCCGCCCAACAGTCACTTTAGGCCTGCCTCTCACAACTTCGCTTCTCTTAACTTGAGCACACAAAGTCGCCTGGCAGGCTCCACACAGATATTACCTGCTTACTCTCCTCCACTCGAGGACATAACACATTAGAGTCCTACACAGGCACGACCACCACTAGGCTTCAGACCATCTCTAATATCTTCATAATACAGAGAAATGACGTACGTCGCGTCCTCGGCAGCTTCCTCTCCAGTTATACACTGTAGCATTCGCTCAAGCACTTTATCCTGAACCGTGTTCTTCTATCTTCTCAGGACACAGTGATGCACATTCATTCCTGACGACTGGGCAACTCAAGTGACGCGATACGATGTCCGCCAGCGTCACATCGTCACAAAATGTCGACATCCTATTCCCTCTAACTTTCATAAGATGCTCATCCTCTGCTTGTACTCTTTTTAGTCACTCTCTGACGTTTACTTGATATATTTCCTTCTTCTGATCCAACCCGTTCTCGCAAATTTAATAAGTCAATATTGACTTATTAAATATGTGCATAGGTGACATACTTAACATAATAGATACCCTTAAAAGATTCATAGAAAACACCGACCTTACCTAACCTTGTTAGTATCTTAAGATAAGCATCTTATTGCTTCGTAATTACAATTATTACCTAACCTATAATAGGTATAGGTTAAGTAATAATTGTAATTACGAAGCAATAAGATGCTTATCTTAAGATACTAACAAGGTTAGGTAAGGTCGGTGTTTTCTATGAATCTTTTTAAGGGTATCTATTATGTTTAGTATATCACCTATGCACGTAGTTAATAAGTCAATATTGACTTTACGAATTTGCGAGAACGGGTTGCTGATCTAATTTCTGGTCAGGTGTGCAGCATAACTCACCTGGTAGACTTGCTTCACTCGGCTACCTCGGAGTTCACAACACTACATAATTTTAAGAGATATTGAGTGTCTTTCCTTGTCGCTCGTAAGATTGAGAAGTGATGTGCTAGTAATTATTGTATATTTACCTGGGTTTACCCAAGTTTATGTTTATAGTTTACTAACTATCTTTCAACCTCGGCCTCGACGAGGACAGAAAGCCGGCGGTTTGTTAAAAGTTCTGCCAAATGTCTCAATGATATTTTCTAGTTGGATTTTGGCATTTACGGCTTCAGCGGGTGGGCAGTTCCATGGTTTTATAACCCTCTGGGTGAAAAAACATCTCCTGTTTTCAGTCCTACTTGAGAGTACATACTTTCCAGCACTATATCTGTGATTGTCCTGTTATCAGTGACTTCAAACCAAATGGTTTGAGGTACTTTGAGCTCTGCAATTACTTCATACACTCAGGAATATTGGAAGATATTCTTGTGCTGTATCCAGATTTTGCTAGTGAGGGCTAATAGATCATCAGCCTTACATTTCTTATTCTCTTTTGATTCCATGTATGACTGGCCGTCCTGTGAGGTAGGGATGCTGGATGAGCTTGTAGCTGGGTTTTGATCTGCACTGTATATACCTAAGCGTGTTAATAAAAAAAATAAAATTTATTCTATATATTTTATATTTATAAAAGCTATAAAAACAGATATTTCATCGAATCACCTCACTTTGTGGGGCTACGTGATCAACGCAAATGCGTGTTGGTGTTGCTCACGTGGCCCCACAAAGTGAGGTGATTCGATAAAATATCTGTGCCAAAGTTTACCACCGAGCACTGTCGGATCTTGGATAAATTGTCTCACGACTACCAAGATTTTTGTAGAGTCGTGTGGTCGAGTGGTTTAGGTACCAGGTATGCCAAGGTGCATAGTGCTCCTGGCTATCTGGGTTCGAATACTTCTGGGGTGTGGAGTTTTCAGTTGCATATTGGCTTGGAGACCATTCAAGCTTGTTTGCATATATATATATATATATATATATATATATATATATATATATATATATATATATATATATATATATATATATATATATATATATATATATATATATATATATAGAGAGAGAGAGAGAGAGAGAGAGAGAGAGAGAGAGAGAGAGAGAGAGAGAGAGAGAGGGAAAGAGAGAAAAGACAGACAGACAGACAGACAGACAGACAGACAGACAGACAGACAGACAGACAGACAGACAGACAGACAGACAGACAGACAGACAGACAGACAGACAGACAGACAGACAGACAGACAGACAGACATTCACTTTTACATATATACATAAGCATCTATTTATATTCCAGGGTTGCCAATGTGGCCATTGGTGGGTTCGCTCCTGCACATGCGCGGAGGACCGACTAGACAGACACTACAGAACCTGAAGAATAAATACGGCAACATGGCAAGCTTTGGCATCCTTGGCACCAGGTATGAGGCTCCCCGAGCCAAGCTTATCTCTTCATATACCAGTCTGTCTTTATCACCCGCCTACTTTGATAAGGAAGGAAAAACTACCGATATGATATAGATAGATAAATAGATAGAGCGATAGAGAAGAGAGAGAGAGAGAGGGAAGGGGGTGAAGGAATGCAAGTCACACTTCACCGGACCTTATTAGCAACACGGTCAGTTGTCAGAGCCTTTCCGCCCCCACCTACAACATTGATTACACCCGTCCAGCAGGTACTAAGCTGTCGTCTTCAGCTGAAAGCTCACGCCTGCTGCTACCGCCTTCAGCAGTTACTTATTGATCTGAGAACACCAGCAGGTGAGTCTGAAGATTCTTGTGCTGTGACTGTTGCATAGAGATATACATAGGAAGGCTCGTCATTTTACTGTCAAGGAGTATAGTGATTGTGTATTTGTTATTTGTGTAAATTAACAGACTGACAGGTGGGGCTTCCGTTTGGCCCCACCTGTCATCTTCAGTTGTTTTCTATACCTTGAAAAGAAATACACATATCTGTCTCATCATGGTTTTTATTTTTTTAATACCTTCCTTTTAATAATAAAACATCTGGTTCTGAAAAGTGTCTGTGACTGCATTTGAATATGTTTCTCTGAACTTTTTTGTCTTCATCTGTGTCTCAGAAAATACCCTCGTTTTCGTCTTCGCCTCTGTCTCTTCTTTTGTCTATCTCCGTCCCCACCTCTCTCTACGCCTGTCTGTCTCCATCGTTTCATCTGTCTCCAAGATTATCAGTTCGAGACAGGGTCTCAACTGTGTGTGTCTTACGTTGATATCAATCGATGCACTAAAAGACCAAGTGAAAAGATAAGCTGGGTGAGGAAATGTCATGTCACCAACTGAGCTCATTTTTGTATTATCATACTTAGGTACCTAGCCATTTATGCAACACCAATAGAACACCTGAATGGTTGTATAACTATACAACCATTCATTGTGTCAAAACCTAACTATGTGACACCACAAAATTTCCATGTGCAGGCGATGAGTCACAATAACGTGGCTAAAGTATGTTGACCAGATCACACACTAGAAAGTGAAGGGACGACGACGTTTCGGTCCGTTCTGGACCATTCTTAAGTCGATTGTGACACACACACCCTTCACCTTCTAGTGTGTGGTCTGGTCAACAAAATTCCCATCTCACAGGATGGTTAGTCTCACAGGGGCATGTGATCGTTATATAGCCTGCATGAACTTCACAGCAGCCTACGCCAGACTCTAAAACGTATCAACTCTTTGTCGTTATCGGGGATTTTATTATGCAAAATGACCGTTTTACTTTCCTCTCGCCAGACATGGTGTTGGAGTGGGCCGGAAAGACGCTGGGATGTGGAGGTTCTATCCTCCTGGTCCTCTTCCTCCTCCTTCTCCTGCTTTTCTTCTTCGCTCCAGGAAGACGACCTCACAACTTTCCTCCAGGTAAGGATTGCAGGTTAACGAATGTCAACAGAGAGAGAGAGAAATAGATGGATTTATGAATAGTGAGAAAAATATACATTAGGCCTTTATAAAGCAGACAGATAGACAGATAGGTAGAGAGAGCCATGCAAACTTATCAAACAGATACACTAAAGAATAGACAAGCCATAGTTTTCTAGAAAGACAGACACATCGACGGATATATCTATTCCTGTAACTCTTTTAATTAAATACTGTCTTCGTCAATATATAAACTCTATAAAAGAAATTAACATTTAATCATGCAGAAAACAATGATAAATGAATCTGAGGATCTTAATGAGGATGGAATCTGGTGCGTAGCGTGATAAGATATTAGTGTAATTTGCCATGTCATGCAAACTGGGGGGAGGAGGCCCTGGGGCTCACCCCGACCCGCCTATATGACTATCTCTGGTAAAAGACGAGTCACCCTCTCAAAGTTTGGTGAGCCTAGCCCCAAACATCTGGTCCCCAACCTTGAACACACAGAGAGAGAGATAAACAGTCAGACAGGCGGACATACAGACAGACGGACATACAGACAGACGGACATACAGACAGACAGACACTCACTTTTATTGGTATACATGAGAATCTGTTCATATTTCAGGGTTGCCAATGTGGCCGTTGGTGGGTTCGCTCCTGCACATGCGCGGAGGACCAACTAGAGAGACACTACAGAACCTAAAGAAATATGGCAACATGGCAAGCTTTGGCATCTTTGGCACCAGGTATGAGGCTCCAGGGAACTGAGTGCCGCTTATCTCTTTATATACCAGTCTATCATCTGTCTACTTTGATAAGGAAGGCAAAACAGCCAATATGATATGGAGAGATAAAATGGTAGATAGGGAGTGAGAGAGAGAGAGAGAGAGAGAGAGAGAGAGAGAGAGAGAGAGAGAGAGAGAGAGAGAGAGAGAGAGAGAGAGAGAGAGAGAGAGAGAGAGAGAGAGAGAGAGAGAGAGAGAGAGAGAGAGAGTAATTACTCAGTTTCCTCCATCAGGTTTGTGTTGGTGAGCGGGATGTCAACATTGAAGGAAGTCTTCTCCCACAAGAACACCAGCGGACGACCAGACATGTTCATCACTACCCTAAAGAACTACATCATCACAGACGGACAAGACTCCCATGTAGGTCAGTAATATATGCACACACACACACACACACACACACACACACACACACACACACACACACACACACACACACACACACACACACACACACACACACACATACACTATCTCTCTGACTCTTTGAACTCTTTGAGTACTGGTGATCACCTGAGATGTAATCAAATCACTCCAGCGTTATCAGCCTTTTCTCCTCCTTATACTCCCACAGCTTTATACTTTGTGTTCAGTTTCTTGATATTTACTAGTTTTACTGTAACAATGATGAGATTCGAACCCTTGACCTGGTTACTCCAAGCAGCGCACCTTACCTCTGAAACTTGATATGGAATAAATTATATGTAAAAATATAGACTGGGTCAGCAGGGGCCTCCAGGCGTCCTGTGGATTCAGTGGAATCCCAGTTTGTATAACTTTTACCACATCGTGGTCCAGAGGTAAGATCCGCTATTCAGTGGTGCCCAGGTCGAGGGAATCGAATCCCCACATTGTTCCAATTGATTTTCTCATTGTGAATTCCCAATTTTATGTGATCTCTCTTTTTATTCCTTGTTTTGCTTCCTTTTCTATTCATTTATACTTTATATCTCCTTAGCTGTTAGTTAAGCATATTACTCACATTCCTTTCACATCGTACTGCTGTTTCAGGAATCAATGGTTCGAATGGCGAGCGATGGCAGGAACAGCGACGGTTCGTCCTGCGGCACCTGAGGGACCTCGGCTTCGGCAAGACCAGCTACGAGCCCATGATGATGGACGAGGTGGTCGAGCTCATGGAGCACATCCAACAGGAGAAGGGGAAGCCCCTCCCCATGAAGGTGAGGAGGTGAAGGTGTTGGTGATGATGAGAGCTAAGATGAGGATGATTAAGATGGTGTGTTGTGAGAAAAAGATGCTGATTGGTCCGGTGCAGGGGACCATTACACCCCCTCACTCACGTTAAAGCCTGCACTGAATGGGTGATCTATGAACTGTTAGGCTATTACAGGGACACCCTTGACTTTGAGTAAGGGAACCTTGATAATCCAAAGGAGCTTACAATCCTCGATAATGGTATATCATACTGTATCATACCAGAGATATCCAATCGTCAAATAAACATCTACTAAGGATAACGCTCGACGATGGCAAGTAATTACTGAAAACCCCTTTTTTTGTACTTTCTTCTTTAACCTACTTGACTTTGTGTATATAATTATCCCACATAATCTATGCAATGTGTCAACGTCGACAAGAATATAAATTATCAACGCATTATTTCTTGATGTTGAAGTGAAATAAAGATGCTTTAATGAGTAGCCTTGTGTTGAGCATGTCATAATAAACATCCCATCTCTTCCTTACGACTACTCAAGTGGTAGGAATTGCAACACAGTGTTGCAGCACTAAATATCCTCCTCGAGCATGCAATACGCTTAATAACAACATCTTATGCCACCAAAGTATCTCACAACCCACAACAAAGCCTGCACACACTTCACTAACCCACCGTCATGTTGCAGAATTTCTTCAACCGGTCTGTTGTGAACGTGTTGTGGGGGATGGTGATGGGGAAGAGGTTCTCCTACGACGACGCCAAGTTAGCCAAGCTCCTCAAGACCTTCTTACAGCTGGCAGACTTCAACCTGCTCGATCCCCTCCTCTTCATCCCTGGGATGATGTGGGCTATGATGTACATTCCCATCTTGAAGGAGAGTATTACGCCAATCAAGAAGGTCAATAAATTCTTGAAGGTATGATGTAAATCATCAAACTCGTTGAATAATGCTTTCATATTGACCATCCTAGAGCTCATTGAATAATTTTGAATCAAAATCTGCTTGTTAGGATTAATTGATTTGCAAAGCTAACCATTTCTAACAAACGTAACCAAACATAAGCTTACCCTTTTATTTATCTTTCTTTCTCTTTCGTTCTTTCTTTTTCTTTCCCCTCGTTTTCTCTTACGATCCCTTGCTTATCCTTTTAGTATCCACTTCTTATTCCTATTACTAACCTCCTTCTAATTGGGTGGGAGTGGGTGTTATAAATAGGAGCTGCCTCGTATGGGTCAATAGGCCTTCTGCAGTTACCTTTGTTCTTATGTTCTTATTCCTATTACTATCCCCTTTATTACACCTTACCTTTCGTACCTTTTGCCTTGCTTTTTCTTCCTTTAAGATTTTCGTCTTCTCACCTCTCTCTTGCCTATTTATTGCCTTTCCCTCCTTCCCTCATTCTTTTGTTTCCAGTAGCTGAATCTTAAACAACATTCCCTCATCACAATCGACTTGAGATTGGTCCAGGACGGATCGAAACGTCGTTGTCCCTTCACTTTCTAGTGTGTGGTTTGGTCAACATATTTCAGCCATGTTATTTTGACTCCTCCTCTGCAACCATTACTGAAGTATCTATTGCAAAGGGAAACTTGAGACAATGGCACGTTTCAATCGAGCCCACAGACTTTACCTCTGATGGCGTATCTTCCTATGTTTGTGAGGGCTGACTACCTCAAGCTCCTTACATAACAACAGGTGTTTGAATACACAGATACGCTCGCGCCTTTAAAGAGCTCATCAATTGATCTCTATTAATAATAATAATAATAAAAGAATATGGATTATTATGTAATGGTCACTGATTAAGTGATCATTTAATGTAATGGTGATGTAATGATAACATATGAGTTTGTTTAACGTTTATATTAGTCGTATCAACATTAATGTCCAAATTACAGCCAGTGGATACAGTCATATCATGTAATGACTTTAAACATTGTGCTTCTTCTTTCATGTATCACTCGTTATTGTCTTTGGTTACTGTAAGCTTGTTGAAATTTATTGAATACATTTTTGTTGTTATTGGTCACTAATTTACAGGCCAAATTGTTGGAATGATTGTATGTTTTGGTTGACAAAATTGTATCTAAAACTAGTCTCGTTATTTTGACTTATACTTCGTTGGTACAGGTATTACAGTGTGCTAGAGGTTTGTAACGCCCTGTATTGTCGAGAAAACTACCCAATGTTAAACTGAACGTAATACAGATATCCTTGAGAGGACTAGAAATCTGGAGAAACTGGACATTTCTCAATCATGAGATTTCCACAGAGTTTTGATTAAGAACATAAGAACAAAGGCAACTGCAGAAGGCCTATTGGCCCATACGAGGCAGCTCCTATTTATAACTACCCAATCCCACTCATATACTTGTCCAACCCGCGCTTGAAACAATCGAGGGACCCCACCTCCATAATGTTACGCGGCAATTGGTTCCACAAATCAACAACCCTGTTACTGAACCAGTATTTACCCAAGTCTTTCCTAAATCTAAACTTATCCAATTTATACCCATTGTTTCGTGTTCTGTCTTGTGTTGATACTTTTAATACCCTATTAATTATAGATTAATTAATCTATAATTAATTAGATTAATTAATCAAGGGAGATTATATCTCCCTTGATTTTTTAGCGCTGCATTACATTCAAATGCGACTTTATCAGCCTCAGTATCTACAGTGTTCGGGAGACTGACAGCGTGACCGGCTCTGCTCTCTGCTTGCATAAAGCCGCTTATAGTTGCGTCTTGATTATTGTCTTTTATATTGTGATGACCTGAGCAGCTGATTAGTGGGTGATGATAGCAGTCGCCATGCAAGGGGGGGCATGTGAGGCTTATCGGTTATCTCTTGCCGTATGTCTCTGGTTATCAAAAGCGGGGAGATTCATTTTCAATAATTGTGGGTATTATTGTAAAGATTTTTATTCTTATTATTGAGAAAAACAATTGGAGGAATAGGGGGATACAACCCTTCGACCTGGTTACTCCCAAGCCTCGCTATTGTGATTTCCTTGTTTATTATTATTATTATTATTATTATTATTATTATTATTATTATTATTATTATTATTACTATTATTATTATTATTATTATTATTATTTTTATTATTATTATTATTATTTTTATTATTATTATTATTATTTTTATTATTATTATTATTATTATTATTATTATTACTATTATTATTATTATTATTATTATTATTATTATTATTATTAGTAGTAGTAGTAGTAGTAGTATTAACAGCATTACTGAACTAAATTTTCATCTTTCCAGGATGAATTGCGAGATTTTATGGCGGATAAAGACTTAGTCTCCGGCAATTCCTTGGCAGCTGTTTATCTCCAAGAAATCAAGAATCGTGGCGACGAACAGTCACACTTCAACAGTAAGGACATCTCTCTGAACACTGACACGGGGAACAAATATATAATACTTACGTAAAATACAAAAAAACAGTATGTTATGGAGAATATTTGTTATCTTAGATGACGAGGAGTGAGGAGCAGATAGAGAGCCTCCAGAGGCCAAGACGGGGTCTTAGATTTAGTGAAGTTTCAACGTGGCCCCGATTGGTGAAGTGACCTAGCCTGTAATGTTCATTAAGGTTCTCTCAGGCCAACCACTGATCTTTCCAGAGATGCAATCCTCAACAGTTGCCTAACTCCACAGTACATAATTCCTGAAAGGTGAATAATGCATTAGGTGTAAGGAAACTTTTCCAAACGTCTCTGCCCTTCTGGGGAGTCAAACCCGGGACCATTAGGTTGTGGACCAACTACGCTGATCAGGAATCACAAAATAAATTATCTTGAGAACACTAAATGCACTAATATATCGAAAAAGGATAAATCTTTTTGCTTCGTTCAGCAGGTACTGCTAAGGAATCAGGGGGTTGCTAATTGCTAAGATGCGCATACTGCAATATTTGGGACAACTCTGTGAACTAGCACAGGCCTTGAAGAGCCGTCTTGGATTTTGATCAGATTTAGAAAACATTTCCTCCCCACAGTTCATCTTTGTTTGTCTAGTGTACCTACTCTTAACTTACTTATATACATCCTAAGCATGCTTTTTTTTAAGCGATGTTTCAGTGTGTAAGAGTTTTTATCATTTAAGAAGTCAAATTGTGCTGACGTCACATTTGTGTTGTTGACAGTGAACCAGCTGAAGGCGGTCATAACAGAGATGTTTTTGGCCGGGATGGAGACCACCTCCACCACCCTGACGATGGCGATCTACCTTATGGCCAAGCACCCGGCCGTCCAGCAGCGGGTCCAACAGGAGCTGGACTCGGTTGTGGGCAACGGTAGACTACCAAGCTTCTCCGATATGGACAAGTAAGTGACAGACTGTCACGTAGACTCTTCAAGCGCCTTACTGGTCTTCAAATCTTAAAACCCATTACTCATTTTTTTTTTTTTTGCTGAACTCCAATGTTAGCTTTATCATATTTTCAGTAAACGCAATCCTAATTTCACTTTTTCCTGACCACAACTATTTGCAATGCCACTAGTTGCAATATGGCTAACAGCCCACAAAGGAGCAGGGAGCAAAGCATTTAGAGCAACAACACTCAGTTCATGGGTGTTGTCCCATTGCCAGATGTCTGTTTTCTGAGTAGGTAACACACCTGCAAGAGAGACGGGCACATGCGCGGGATAGTTGGTCGTATCTAGCTCATCGTGCATGTCAGCTAGCAATGAGCTAGATAATCGGTTCACATCGGAATGCATACATGTAGTTCTTGCATGATTGTGGTTCCCAGATGGGGGATGACAGTTTAATATGAGGGAGAAGGGTTCACAGATACGACCTTGTGCATTGTTTATACTTGATTTGGGGTTTCTCTATATAGAAAACTGCTTTTGAGCGTGTCATGGTTAAGTGGTTAAATGCGTGTGTTGGGAGTACCCAGTAGGCAGGTTTGAATCCTCCTCATGGCTCCTAGTGCTTTTCGCATTGAGATTTCGCAAGGTGATTTCGTTGTGCATTTCTTTTATTTATTTTACAATGTAAGTAGAGAAAATTGTAACAATTCCTTTGAGCTATTATTTACTATTATTACTCTGTTCCTATCTCTAGAACTATCTCGTTGACGACGCAGCAGAAGGTGACAATTAGACGTGTTCCTTGCTCCCAAGATTATTTGTTTCACAGATCTAAATGCTCAATTTTCCATTCAGTCTCATTAATATAATAGAGAGAAATAGATTAGATTCATTCAGTATTAAATCTATATTGTTTAACATAACCTAGTTCATTTTTTTTAACTTTTTCATTGTTGTTTATGTTATCAAAAAATTAAACAGGAACTTTCCCTTGATAATAACTAGCATGTTTTTCGGCTTTTAATTCTTGTTCGCCCTCTGAAATATAAATAAACGCGGTTTCGTTTTCATCCTCTCATATTGCATCTTATGCGCCTTTTGTCCCTCCTATTCCTGATATTTCCAACCCCCTGCTGCAGGCTGCCCTACACCAAGGCCGCCATTCATGAGATACAGAGAGCCTTCAACATGGTGCCCTTCTCTCTGCCTCATGCTGCTCTGGAGGACTGCATCCTTGCTGGCTACCACATTCCCAAAGGTAACTTGGTAGTGGATTCTCTCAATTACAGTTCTCACTGGTACTTTGGATACTGAGCGATACACTAACAAATTAATTTCGTTAGTTCTCACGAGTCTGTTGTTTGTCACATTAAATAAGAATCCCATTATAGAACTGTTACTTACTCCTGTAGGGACGGTGCTCTTGGGTAACCTTGACGATGCCCTCTCGAACCTTGAGCTGTGGAAGAACCCAAAGGCGTTTGACCATGAGAACTTCCTCGATGACAGTGGCGAGTTTGTCAAGAACGAGGCCTTCATTCCCTTTGGCATAGGTAAGTTTAAGTGTGATGCAACTGAATGCTGCTTTGAGGAGCTGAGTTCAGAGACCTTTGGAACCATCTATATCTCTTAAGGCAAATGGCTGTTTGTTTGTCTGCCAGTTGGTATATTTGTCCGTCAGTCTGTCCGAGGATGGAGGTCAGACGCTTGGAGCTTGCCTTGCCTAACATTCTCACATGAACCCTGTGGGAAGGGGAAGTGTCATAGCTCAGTCGGAGTGGGCTCCAATCCCACACTTAAAGAAATACCGGCCTTTAATCCAACTCTCAAGCGATTTTCATGTAGTCATTGTGAAATATTGGTTGCGTTGCTCGTAGCTGTATTTAGCATGCGATTTTCAGATACGGAATCATCTGCTTTCTGAAAAAAATGGATTATGCAGCATTATCTTCCTATGTACCATTTAAGATTCCGTTCTGTTGGACTTCGCGTATTGTTAAACACATCGTCACGTTTCTCCGCAGGAAAGCGACAGTGTGCAGGAGAACCTCTGGCCCGGATGGAGCTCTTCCTCTTCTTATCCTGCCTCTTGCAGCGCTTCTTCTTCACTGTTGTGGAGGAGGAACCCGGCCGCACCGACAACCCCAACTTTAAAGCCACCCCCAACTACACCGCCATGGCTCGCCTCAGGTTCCCTCTGTAGCTCTTCAATTTGATGTGGCAAGTTTGCTGTGACAAGCTTCAGCAAGATTACTATAGAGGAAATTACACGCGTTCTCATGGAGGAATTGAACCCGAATCTTCACTCAGCAGCGGGCGAGGGTTCAAGTCCTCGATGAATTCATTAATATCTGGGTGTTGTTTATTGATAAAGTTAACTTAAAGTTATATTATGTCTTTATTGCTTTGCACAATAGGAACAAGTTAGCCTATACTGTGTTAATAAGTTCATCTATACTATGGAGAAAAGCTTACCTATAGTTTGTCAACAAGGTCACCTGTTCTATGGCATTATTATTCTTAAAATATACAATGATATGAAAATGGGCTTTACACTTATAATATAGCAAGTCATGTTTTCTGAGTATATCTGAATTATCACGAATTAGCAAGTGAGGAGTATTCTAATTAGGCAATGTTTAACAATTTTCACATCTGTAAAAATCTGATTTTTTTTTACTAGTCTGGTTTCTTTTTACTGCAATTATGAAGTATACAGTAAGCACATTAATGCTTTTCTAGGAAAGTACAGTAATGTGCAAAAGATGCAACAAATTCTTCCAAGTTAGACAAAAATTATATCACCAAATTTATTGGTGATTTGCCGCAACTGTTGTACGCCTCTTTTTATATTTAAATAAAGTTAAAATTCAGTCCATACTCCCTAGACACCCTATTTTAGTTAAATGCATAACTATCACTTTTCTGTTGGTCACCCATCTGCTAGCTGTGTTCACCCGTTTTCTATTCAGCTTTAACTTTAACATTATTTCATCATTCTCCATAAATCCAAAAACTTCTAGTACTACAATCACCTTCTATGGTTGATTGTTCAGTAAGTCACTGAACTATATGTTTAACAGATGTCAAACCCTGTCCATGGAGGACAGGAGGACAGAAGAAAATATATATATATATATAATTTTTTTTTTTTTTTTTTTGAGATATATACAAGAGTTGTTACATTCTTGTACAGCCACTAGTACGCGTAGCGTTTCGGGCAAGTCCTTAATCCTATGGTCCCTGGAATACGATCCCCTGCCGCGAAGAATCGTTTTTTCATCCAAGTACACATTTTACTGTTGCGTTAAACAGAGGCTACAGGTAAGGAATTGCGCCCAGTAAATCCTCCCCGGCCAGGATACGAACCCATGACATAGCGCTCGCGGAACGCCAGGCGAGTGTCTTACCACTACACCACGGAGACTGCTAATATATATATATATATATATATATATATATATATATATATATATATATATATATATATATATATATATATATATATATATATATATATATATATATATATATATATATATATATATATATATATATATATATATATATATATATATATATATATATATATATATATATATATATATATATATATATATATATATATATATATATATATATATATATATATATATATATATATATATATATATATATATATATATATATATATATATATATATATATATATATATATATATATATATATACATATATATATATATATATATATATATATATATATATATATATATATATATATATATATATATATATATATATATATATATATATATATATATGTTGGTTAGCACTGTAAATGTGTGGCTAAAAATAAAGGCTAAAAATCGTCATACTAGAAAATGAAAGCGGCTCGCGAAAGTGACGTACTGTCCCGTTTTCTGTTTTGGGTCCTCTGTATTAGTCTGTTAGGTTAGGAGAGACCACTTTAAATTAACAGTTTTCAGGACGTTTTGTAACCATAGGACAACTTACTGCTCTCTTAACCTGCCAGAGGGTCCATAACTTGCTGCTCTGGGTCCATTTCATTTGGTAAATTAACTTCCATTTTGTTTTAAACTCCAATACGGCGATTTTTGGCCGTAATGCATACGGGCGAAAAGCGCCGTAATTTGTAGGAAGACGGGCTGCTCAGTTCAAGTCGGACTACATAAGATGATCAGCTCCACTTCAGGCCAGGAGAGGCCCAGGTTTGAAGCTGGCAGATCACCCTTTGTGGATGCATTCTTTTTTTCCTCTACTATATTTTGTCATGATTTAAATTACACGCCGTTTCACTGGGGGAACCTCGGGATATAAGAACATAAGAATAAAGGTAACTGCAAAAGGCCTATTGGCCCATTCTAGGCAGCTCCTATTTATAACCACCCAATCCCAATCATATGCATGTCCAACCCACGCTTGAAACAATCGAGGACCCTACCTCCACCACGTTAAGCAGTAATTGGTTCCACAAATCAACAATCCTGTTATCAAACCAGTATTTACCCAGGCCTTTCCTGGGTAAATACTGGTTTATAGCCCAAATGAGTTACAGAGACATCAGAAAGAATTTTTTCAGTGTCAGAGTAGTTAATAAATGGAATGCATTAGGTAATGATGTGGTGGAGGCAGACTCCATACCAGATTTAAATGTAGATATGACAGCCCTATAGGCTCAGGAATCTGTACACCAATTCATTGACAGTTGAGAGGCTGGGCAAAACAAGCCGAACCTCAACTTCCGAAAGCACAATTAGGTGAGCTAGGAGAATGACTCAAACACTCATCAGACCCAAGCATCAGAGTGGCGATGTGTCAGCAGGAGTAGCACAGGATTCTGTACTTGGACCCATCCTGTTTCTAATATATGTAAACGATCTTCCAGAGGGTATAGACTCTTTACTCTCAATGATTGCTGATGATGCAACAATTATGAGAAAAATCAAATCAGACAAAGATAGACAGAGACTACAGGACGACCTGGACAACCTTGAGGAATGGTCTAAAAAATGGCTACAAAGTTCAACTCAGGAGTAATGTAAAGTAATGAAATTAGGCGAAGGGAGTGGAAGGTTGAACACAAGGAACTATTTGGGAGGTGAAATCCTGCAAGAGTCAAATAGAAAAAAAGATATGGGGTTGATATCACACCAAACCTGTCCTCAGAGGCCCACATCAAAAGTATATCATCAGCGACATATGCTAGATTGGCCAACATAAGAACTGCCTTTAGAAACTTGTGTAATGAATCGCTCAGGACCTTGTATACCACCAATGGCAGGCCAATTCTGAAATATGCAGCTCCAGCCTAGAGTTCATACTTAGTTAAACACAAAACAAAGTTAGAGAAGATTCAGTGGTATGCCACCAGACTAGTCCCGGAACTGACAGGTAAGAGCTAAGAGAAAAGGTTAAGGGAGCTGAACATCACGTCCATGGAAAACAGAAGAGTAAGGGGAGACATGATAACCACCTGCAAAATTCTCAGGGGAATTGACAAGGTAGACAAAGACAGACTCATTAGCACGGGTGGAACACGAAAAGAGGACTCAGGTGGAGACTTAGTTCCCAAATGAACCAAAAAAAAACATTAGAAATAATTTTTTTAGTGTCAGTGTAGTTAAAAAGTTAAATGCATTAGGCAGGGATGTGGTGGAGGCTGACTCCATACACCAGTTTCAAATATTGATTTGATAGAGCCCAGTAGTCTCAGGAATTTGTACATCAGTTGATTGGCCGTTGAGAGGCGGGACCAAAGAGCCAAAGCTCAACCCTCACAAGCACAACTAGGTGAGTATCAACTAATAATCCATCCTCTACAGTTCCCCATCCCTAATTTACAGCATAGAGCACTCAAGCCAACACAGAAAACGACAAATAAACTCTCACTGCTAACCCTATACTAAACCAAACTTAGTAAGCAGCATGCCATACTCTCACTATTAACCACAGAATGCCTGTACGCAAGTCACCATGCAATAGTTCCAAGCGCTAACATTCTTCATGCATACGGTAACTGTAACTAACTCATTACTGCTGTAACGTGCCTAGTTGCCCGTAACGCTGTGCGTATTAGTGGCTTTAGGCATAACATTTTTCAGTCTCTGTGGCGTAGTGGTAAGACGCTCACTTGGCGTTCCGCGAGCGCTTTGTCATGGGTTCGTATCCTGGCCGAGGAGAATTTACTGGGCGCAAATCCTTAACTGTAGCCTCTGTTTAACTCAACAGTAAAATGTGTACTTGGTTGTAACAACGATTCTTCGCGGCAGGGGGTCGTATTCCAGGGACCTGCCCGAAACGCTACGCGTACTAGTGGCTGTACAAGAATGTAACAACTCTTGTATATATCTAAAAAAAAACAACCATGTACTAGCTCTATTTAGAAATCCAACATTATTTTTGTAACTAATTTTGAATGTATATACTTTTATCTGAATAAACATTATCTTATTATCATAGTTAAACGAAAATTGTCATTGAGCCCATTATGAAAAGAAAGAAAGAGATAAAGAGAGAGAGATAGATAGAGAGAGAGAGAGAGAGAGAGAGAGAGAGAGAGAGAGAGAGAGAGAGAGAGAGAGAGAGAGAGAGAGAGAGAGAGAGAGAGAGAGAGAGAGAGAGAGAGAGAGAGAGAGAGAGAGAGAGAGAGAGAGAGAGAGAGAGAGAGAGAGAGAGAGAGAGATAGGGAAGGGGGGGGGGGATGATTATCAACATTAACCCTCATAACCTTCAATATTTGTTGGCAACACGTTCAGTTGTCATGCAGACCTAAGGCGGTACGGCAGTTCTCTCAACTTCCTTCCAGTAATTACCCAGAACTCAAGATAAGTAGCCCCCTTCCCCACATACCTAGCTTAGACAATTTAGAGAAACAAACGAACAGACAGATTGACAGAGAGGTTTTTCTGCACCTCCCTACAGCACCGAATACACTCCCTCAAGCAGGTACCAAGCTGTCGTCTGTAGCTGAAAGCTCACGTCTGCTGCTACCGTCTTCAGCAGTTACCTACCGAGCAGACAACACCAGCCGGTGAGTGTGATGATTCTTGTCTGTCTCTGCTGTGACTATTATCAAAGTCACAAAAGTCACTTATCAAAGGCCACATAATGCCTGAGGATGTTTTCCATCGAACTGAAAGTGAAATTGAATTCAATTTCAGTTTCAAGGTCCCTATTGTTCCTGAAGATTTTTCTAAGTAGATTTTAAACTGAAGTTTTGTTAGGCAAAACCTAAACTGTTAGGTTTTGTTTATCCTTTGTTCTAATAACATGCACCATGTTATTAGAACAAAGGATAAAGACTTATACTTGTTCAATTCAGCCTCAACAGTCGTATTCATGGTAGTTTTCGACATTTTAAAAGGAAATGCATGTTCCATCGATCGTGGTGTTTAAACATGAAAATATTTTGTAAATAATTTCTTTTTAAGAATCCGCTTCAAAAATTGATCAACACTTGCCGTTAGCACTGGTTTCACTGTACCAAATTACCGTTTTACTTTCCTCTCGCCAGACATGGTGCTGGAGTGGGTCGGGGAGACGCTGGGGTGTGGAGGGTCTATCCTCCTGGTCGTCCTCTTCCTCCTTCTTTTCTTCTCTTCGGGAAGGCGACCCCAAAATTTCCCTCCAGGTAAGGTTGGTAAAATGTAAACAGAAAAAGAAATACCTAGATGGAAGAATTGTTAGAAAGATTAAAATTGTTAGAAAGAAAGGCCCATATAATGTTAATACAGATAGGTAGGCAAAGAGGTAAATAACCATACACTCTAATCAAACATATATATTTTTTTTATTATTTTCTACCACAGACGTGGCCACACATTTACAATGCTAACCAGCATATATACATTTTCTCCTGTCCTCCATGGACAGGGTTAGAGAAAACATATATTAAACGATAAATAAGTCATAGTTTGCTAAGCAGACAGTCTCTTAGCCGGATACATCGATGGGTATAAAGGAAGATGAAACAAGAGACAGATTTATTGATGATTCACTGATGAAAATATGGATATTAACAGGTAAAAGAATACAAATAATTTAATATATCAATAAACGGATAAAACCCTTTTAGAACCGGTTAGGTGACCATGCTGGCAGAATCATCATGGGTTCTGGGGGAAGGAGGAGAGTCCTCGATAAACCAAATAAGCTACCGGTCCCCCAACAGGTTGGAACCCACATATTTGTGGTTTTATAACAAAGAACCACATACAAACACACATGTACACAGAAACAGACACATATATTTAAATATATAGATGCATATGCACACATAAAATGGATTCACAGACACAGGTGCACATACACTCAAAGACACAGTAACTCACATACAAGCACAAGCGCATACAGGACCACAGAAACCATAAGATACGTTCAATCTTGTAATCAAGCAGCTTTGTATATGTACCCAAATGCACTCAAACACAGAATTATGTCATACATAAGCATCTGCTCGTTTACCAGGGTTGCCAATGTGGCCATTGGTGGGTTCACTCCTGCACATGCGCGGAGGACCAACTAGGCAGACACTTCAGAACCTGAAGAAGAAATATGGCAACATGGCAAGCTTTGGCATCTTTGGCACCAGGTATGAGGCTCCACGAGCCAAGTGCGGCTTATCTCTTTATATACCAGTCTGTCTTTATCACCCGCCTACTTTGATAAGGAAGGCAAAACAACCGATATAGATAAAATGGTAGATAGGGAGTGAGTGAAATTTTAAGGAGAGAGAGAGAGAGAGAGAGAGAGAGAGAGAGAGAGAGAGAGAGAGAGAGAGAGAGAGAGAGAGAGAGAGAGAGAGAGAGAGAGAGAGAGATAGAGAGAGAGGGGGAGAGAGAGAGAGAGAGAGAGAGAGAGAGAGAGAGAGAGAGAGAGAGAGAGAGAGAGAGAGAGAGAGAGAGAGAGAGAGAGAGAGAGAGAGAGAGAGAGAGAGAGAGAGAGAGAGAGAGAGAGAGAGAGATATTAATCAGTTTCCTCCATCAGGTTTGTGCTGGTGAGCGGGATGTCAACATTGAAGGAAGTCTTCTCCCACAAGCACTCCACCGGACGACCAGACATGGTCATCACTACCACCAGGAACTACCTCTTAACCGAAGGACGTGACCTCTATGTAGGTCAGTAATATATGCACACACACACACACACACACACACACACACACACACACACACACACACACACACACACACACTAGCACACTCACATGCATATAAATTGTATTTCCAAGCATGAACATAGATTCAGCAAATTAATATCCTGCTTGACCAACTTATTTGAGTTCTTTGACAAGATGACATCAATCAAACTGGGGAGAGAGAGAGGGCTGGATAGACTGCATTTTCCTGGATTACTAGAAGCTTTTGACACTGTTCCTGTTAAGCGACTCCTGAGCAGACTAGAAAAACAGGCTTGTATATCTGGAAGCGTACTTAAATGGGTGAAAGAGAGGTAAACGTCCCGTTATCCGCTAGGAACTTGGACAAAGATTCCTAACGAGCACTGTATAAATCCTCTGTGAACACCATTATTGAATATACTGTCCAGGCAGGAACCCTTGCCTGAAGAAGCACAAAACAAAATATGAACTGATCCATAAATATGCAACAAAGCGCCTTCTTGGGCTAAGAGGACCGAGAATAGCGCGAGAGACCATACACCTTGCGGTCTATGGTCTCACACATTCTGCGGTTTTTGGTCTAACGTACCTTGGGCTCTGGGTCTCAGTCGTCAATGTGTAGTATTCCATACAATCTCTTTAATACCTTTCAGCATTCCACTTACAATACTTAAAATTCTCTTACATGTTGCTGCTGTTTCAGGGACCATAGGCTCGTTACTTTTTAAACCACTTCACAAGTGGGTTACTTGCGTAGCTAAATGAACTGTGGGGCTCAGTTTCAGAACCTATCGTGTGCCTCTGTAACCCTTTCCACTCCCGCCCACGGAATGGGTATGGGGTACATAATGATCACACTAAATAAATGCTGCTACTGTTTCAGGGATCATAGGGTCGAGTGGCGAGCGATGGCAGGAACAGCGACGGTTCGTCCTGCGGCACCTGAGGGACCTCGGCTTTGGCAAAACTAGCTACGAGCCCATGATGGTGGACGAGGTGTCGGAGCTGATGAATCACATCCAGCAGCAGAAAGGAAAACCCCTCCACATGAACGTAAGAAAGTGAAGGTGTTGGTGATGATGATCGCGAAAGGGATTAAGTGTTTGAAAAAAAAAGATGATCATTCGCCTCGTGCAGGGAATGATGCTCACTTTACATGCTCAGTAACGTTAAAGTAAGCACGTTAAGGCTTGCACTGGACGGATGAACGCAAGGGCACCGTCACCTTTGACTCAAGAGGATCTCGATAAGCTAAACGGGCTTCCTGTCCCCGAGAACAGTATATCATGCTATATTAGAGACAGAAACCACCAAGTATCTCACAACCCACAACAAAGCCTGCACACACTTCACTAACCCACCGCCTTGTTGCAGAAATTCTTCAACCGGTCTGTGGTGAACGTGTTGTGGGGGATGATGATGGGGAAGAGGTTCTCCTACGACGACGCCAAGTTAGAAAAGCTCCTCAAGACCTTCTTCCAGCCAGTCGACTTCAACTTGCTTGATCCCCTCATCTTCATCCCTGGGATGACATGGGCTATCATGTATATTCCTATTCTGAGGGAGAATCTTACCTCACTCAAGGATATCATTAAGTTTATGAGGGTAAGATGTGAATCTCCATGTCACGCTTTAGTTATGTTCTTTGGTTATTGCAAGCTTCCTGAAATTTATTGAATACATTTTTGTTGTTGGTCAATAATTCACGAAAGGGTCAAATTATTGAAGTGATTGTATGTTTTGCTTGACAAATTGTCTCCAAATGTAGTCTCGTCATATTGACTTATCCTATGTAGAGACTGGTATAAGTGTGTGCTCGCCCACTGTACGATTTACATTACAGGTTTGGAACGTCCTGCATTGTAGAGGAACGTACCATGTGTTCTGAACGTAATACAAATATCCTTATGAGGACTAGAAATCTGGAGAAACAGGACATTGCTAGATTCTGAGATTTCTGCTGAGTTTAGCTTATCTCTCCTTTCTGGAGTGGCAAGCTATTTCAGTGTGACCTTAGTATCCTCGGTATCTACAATGTTGAAGAGACTGATAGTGTGACAGGCTCTGCTTTCTGCTTATGTAAAGTAGTTTGCGATTACATCTTGATTTTGAACAGTTACCACTTGATAATTTTATGATAGGAGTTGTCATGTGGTGATTGGAAGGCTGTCACTTTCTCCTGGTGGTTATCTCTTTAAGTTTTGTCTGGTGATCTTGGCCGTAGAATTTCAGTGTGAGTAATTATTATTATTATTATTATGCAGGCGATGAGTCACAATAACGTGGCTAAAGTATGACTTTAGCCACGTAATGTTGTTAGTAATAAAGCTAACATTATTATTAAATACTACTAGCTGTATCCGGCCACGCGTTGCTGAGCCACAGTAATCCTCTCCTGTCCCCCCCTGTCCTCCCCACCATTCCAAACTTCCCCCTTCCACTCGTCCTCCCAACCATTTCCCCGTCCCTCGTTCTCCTTACCAAATCCCCCCCCTCCTCCTCCCCACCATCCCCTCGCCTCCCCATTATTCCCCCATTCCCCATCCCCTCGTCCTCCCCATTATTCCCCACTCCCCTGTATCCTTGTCCTCCCCACCATTCTCCGCTACCCCTTCCACTCGTCCTCCCCTCCATTTCCCCCTCCCCCATCCCCCCACCCCTATCCCCTCGTCCTCCCCACCATTCCCCACTCACTCGTCCGATGCGTTCCCAAATGATCTGGTGTTCCCATCAGAAAAATGGGAACATCAAATGATCTGATGTTCCCATCACTGAAAAATGGGAACATCAAATGATCTGATGTTCCCATCACTGAAAAATGGGAACATCAAATGATCTGATGTTCCCATCACTGAAAAATAATAACAGTTAAAAAAATGAAATGAAAAAAAATGAAAAAATAAAAAGAATAAACTATACTCACGAAATGAATGGTATGGTAAACAACACAGCTCAATTACAACACAATGTCACACAAAATAATTAAATCAAAATGAAAATAAATTGAAATCTATGAAAATTCAATTTATCAATGCAATCAGAAATATTGAAATGGAATCATAAGATATTTAGTAGAGCGTGTGTTGCTATTACGTGCAACAGATGGCGCTGTTTAAAAAAAAAACATGTTTTTACCTGTCACAGGTGTGGCATCTATATAGTAGGCATATAAAAACACGCGCGTATTCGAATGGAACGTTGTGTCAAAATTTCAAAGTAATCGGCGAGGAACTTTCAGAGATTACAGCGTGTGTTGCTCTTACGTCCAAAAGTTAGCGCTGTTTTTCAATAAAGCATATTTTTACCTGTCACAGGTGTGGTATGTATATAGTAGATATATAAAATCACGCGCACATTCGAATGAAACGTTGTGTAAACTTTCAAAGCAATCGGTAAAGAAGTTTCGGAGATTTCCTTCGGATAAAAAAACACATGAAAACACAGTTTAAAAAAACATGTCTTTACCTGTCACAGACGTGACATCTATTATAGTAAGTATGCAAAAACACGCTCGTATGTGAAGGGAACGTTGTGTCAAAATTTCAAAGCAATCGGCGAAGAACTTTCGGAGATTAGTGATTTTGAACAAACGAACATTTACATTTTTATTTAAATAGATTATTATTATTATCTGTAACGGTTATAATGTAATTAACTTTCATCTTTTCAGGACGAATTGCGAGATTTTATGGCTGATAAAGACTTAATCTCCGGCAATTCATTGACGTCTGTTTATCTCCAAGAAATCAAGAATCGTGGCGACGAACAGTCACACTTCAACAGTAAGGACATCTCTCTGAACACTGACACGGGGAACAAATATATATATCACTCATAAAATACAAAATAGTGTGATATAGAGACTATTTTATATCACAGGTGATGACTGACAGAAGAGGAGCAAGCAAGGAGCTTCCTGATGACAACAGTCAGATTTTGTGAAGTTTCTCATTAATGGGGACAAGAAGGCTGTAAGACATTATGGTCTCATCAGACCCAATGACTAATATTTTCCTGGCTGGAACCCACAAGAGTTGCCCAACTTCATGATACATATATATTAATAGGTGAATAATGGCATTAGGTGTAAGGAATCGGTTCCAATCATCTCCAACCCGCCCGGGGGTCAAACCCGGGACCATTAGGCTGTAAACAAATTTGGGTGACCAAGAATTGCATCAAGAGTTATCAAGATAATGCTATATGCATTAATATATAGAGATATGAGATTTTTTACACAACAATACAGTCGTCCTACAGTATTCACTAATAGAGTACCAACTTCTCACCCTGACGTACAGGTTCAATTGAGGGTTTGGATAAAAATGATTAAGTCATATTCATATGTAAACAGTTTACTCATTAAACTAGAACAGTTTCTCGGAACACCAGTACAATTCTATGTAAACTATAGTCTTATTTTGCTAATGAAATGTTTCAGTGTAAACATTACATTCTATAAAATTGTTTAACATTTATGAGAAATATGATCAGACTTTTGCTGACATTACCTTAATGTTGGTAACAGTGGACCAGATGGCGGCGGTGGTGACGGAGATGTTCGTGGCTGGGATGGAGACCACCTCCAGCACCCTGACGATGGGAATCTACCTGGTAGCCAAGCACCCGGCCATCCAGCAGCGAGTTCAGCAGGAGCTGGACTCGGTTGTGGGTAACGATAGACTACCAAGCTTCTCCGATATGGACAAGTAAGTAATAGACCGCTAGTTTGGGTTATTAATACAGCAAACATCGTTCGTCATTGTTGTAAACTCCACAAGCGCCTTACTGGTCTTCAAATCTTATAACCCCATCATCAATCCTTTTGCTGCAGTAATCCAATGTTAGCTGTATCTTATTTTTAGTAAAAGCAGTCACGGGGAGGCTCGCAGGTACTCAGTTATCTTGGTACTCACGCTAAATATCTGGTAGATAGCAAAATTTGTCATTTAGACGTGCCCCTTGCTCGCGAAATCTTTTTCTTTCACACAATACTGCTCCACTCAGTCTCATATATATTAGTGAGTGATAGAAAAATAGGTAAGATGTACTTAATAATAAACTCTGGGCTGTCAAACAATCATTTTCAGTTGGTTTTGTGTTATCGGAATTGTCAGTAGAAATTTTCACAAAGTTCTAAATTCATTCATGCTTAAAGCTTTCATATGATAATTGCTTTCAAGCTGTCAACCCTTACTTTGACTCTGAAATACAAATAAATCTGGTTTGCTTGTTCATCTTCTCTTTCCACAACTTAATCACCTTTTGTCCCTCCGATTCCTGATATTTCCAACCCCTTGTTGCAGGCTGCCCTACACCCAGGCCACCATTCATGAGATACAGAGGACCTTCAACCTGGTGATCTTCTCTCTGCCTCACGCTGCTCTGGAGGACTGCACGCTTGCTGGCTACCACATTCCCAAAGGTAACTTGGTCGTTTCGTTTCATGGAAGGGGTTTCAATGGGGAGGGGTGATGGATGGGGACACGAAATACAGTAAATATAGGATGAGGATAGAGCAAAAGGTGGATAAATGTTTATTGGCCTGAATTTGAATTTGTAGTGTCTTGGTAGTGGTGTGTGGTGTAATTAGTTAGAACAAAGTTAAATTGATTAAAACAAACTGGTTTAAAAAGTAATTGGTTAGTGTTTTTGTGTACTTAATTAGTACATGGGCCTGGCTGGTTTGGGAATGGTGCCAATTGTGTGCCGTTGTTGATGTACTGGGTTTGGACCTGTGGATGTGGCCTTATGATGTAGTTCTTCGCAACATCAAGCTTCCTGCACTGCTTTCTAACAATTGTTTTTATTATTATTTGTATTGTTTCGTTTGGTTTGTATTTTGTATTTTATTTTTATATTAATAAACAAATTGTATTTTTTTCCATCAAGTGTTGATTGGGTCTGGGAAGGCCCACTCCTCTGGGATCTTGGGAAGTCGGGGCTATGAATATGTCTTATGATTTTAAGCTGGAGGCTGGTCCTGCTGATTCTGTGTGGAGGAGGTTTCTGAATTTCACATTCATTTGTTGTGTTGGTGATTACCTGGATGGGGAGGGGGAGTCTTCCCGACCTGGGATATTAAGGTGTTTCAAACTCTAGAATATTTCTCTCGGGAGGTAACTCATGTTCATAGGCATCATCCTCTAAGACCTGTGAAAATGGTCTGTTCTTACTGTCATTTAGGAAGATGTTTGCAAAAACGTGGAGAGCCTTGTTTTGGACTTTCAGATCTTCAGTTTGTTGGAGTTTGTTCCCAGTGCTATATAGTCGTAATGGCGTGACACTTTCTCCTGATAGTTCTCTTCCCTTGTTGTTACTTGAGGTCAGGTCCAAGGGGGGGGGGGGGGTGGGGGGTTCATGGGTATTGTACTGGTCTAATAATCATTTTGTGCAGGTGAAGTTTGACATGGGCTAAAGCTTGTCTCAGTCGGTAGAGCATTGTCGGGGCGCTTTTGGCTATTACTGCTTTATCAGAGACGTACTGGGTGGAGAAGAGTAGTCTGTTGGTGTAGCCTAAGACGGTGTTGGAGTTATTGATAGCCATGATGATGGATACTCTCAGGTACGGTACTTACTGGTATCTTGATTACTGAGCGTTTCACTTAAAAAGTTATTTCGCTAGTTCTTCATTGGTCTGTTGCTTGTCACTGTAAATAACAATCCCATTAGAGAACTATTACTTACTCCTGCAGGGACGGTGCTCTTGGCTAACGCTGACGATGCCATGTCGGATCCTCAGCTGTGGAAAAACCCAAATGCGTTTGACCCTGGGAACTTCCTCGACGACAGTGGCAAGTTCGTCAAGAACGAGGCCTTCATTCCCTTTGGCATAGGTAAGTTTAATTTTGTTGGAACCGCTTTGTTGTGCAGATGAGTTCAGAGGCTATTGCAACCATGCCTCTATAATGGATGAATTTACGATACGGAAATAACATGCTTTCTGTAAAAAGTGAATTGAAGAAGAATTTCCCTTCCTTACCGTCCTATATACCATTTAAGATTCCGTTCTGTTGTACTTCGTGTACCCTTGAGCACATCGTCACGTTCCTCCGCAGGAAAGCGACTGTGCACAGGAGAACCTCTGGCCCGGATGGAGCTCTTCATCTTCTTCTCCTGCCTCTTGCACCGCTTCTCCTTCACTGTTGTGGAGGAGGAACCCGCCCGCATCGACAACCCCACCTTCAACACCACCCCAAAGTACACCGCCATGGCTAGCCTCAGGTCCCCTCTGTAGCTCTTCTACCTGCTGTGGCAAATTTGCTGTGACAAATATACGGCTTTAGCAAGATTACTGTTGAGGAAAATACACGTGTTCTCGTGGATAAATTGAGTCTGACTCATCACCCAACAGCGGGCAAGGGTTCAATTCTTCGAAGATTTCATCGAGAGTGTTGTTTATTGATAATAGAGATTTATACAGTCTCACGGTGCATTACTGTATTAAATACAGGCACATGGGGCGTTGTTATTTTGAAGAGAGACTCATGGGGGTTGCTGTATTGAATACAAGGAGAGCCAGCATTATTAAAGTATTGCAGTGATAGTTGTTTTAATATGTACTTAAATTGACATGTTATGTTTGAGTGCTTTTGAAAAAGTATAAAATAAAAAAATAAACTACTGACCTTTCCAAGATTAAAAACTCCTCAACAGTTGCCCAAAGTCGCATTCAACAATTTAACATGCTCTTCAATCAAAATAGGAATTTTCTCAAATATAAATTAGTTTTGTTATATATTACCATACTGTGCATATTTAGGCATTAATTAGGTTAGGTGTTTAGGTTCTGTTGTCGATTATTTGTATTTGTAGTACGTGGGTGAAACCCGTCCTCACATTTGGCTGTTTAAAGCAGCGGCCGTCCTCCCCAGACGCATTCATAAATTTTAACATACTGTGTATTAAAAATTGGTTTGTTCTCGTATATAAATTAATATTATTACACATAAAAATTCTATGTATAGTAGGCGTAGTGTTTAGGTTTGGTTAGGCTAAGTGTTTAGGTTCTGTTGCCAATTATTTGAATTTGAAGTACGTGGGTGAAACATTTATGGAATTGTGGTTCGAACAGAGGACGTGAGCGAAGCACTTGTTCCTTTAGTGTTCGGACGTCAACAGTTGTGAGTTGTGTGTAAACCGTTTTTCATTCATAAACAGAGAGTTTGGCGGGTGCATAGGAAGGGATTTTGCCCTTTGTTTATGAGAACGGGCTGAAATTAGTCAGTTGTCCCCAGGCATGTCACCAAAGATTACATGTGGCCAGGCCCGTTTTCAGTTCGGAGAGAGGGCCCTAAGTCAAGTTTTGGTTAGCTAGTTAAGGAAATGATGCCTTCAGATAGTTAGGTTTAGGCGTTGTCGAATGGCTGTCGAAGGTAAGTCATAAATGACCGGTCCCTTGCCCAGAGTTGAAGACTTAGAGAGAGGCGTAACTTAGGCCAGATAGGTAGTGACGTTGTCAGTGTTAAGGCCCCGCTGGAAAGTGTTGTTACTCGCAGATGCCCACTGACCAACAAAGTTATATTTGGGAAGAGACCCAGTGACTTGGGGCTTGGAATCCTGGCTAACTAGAGCGGTATCGAGTCACGTATACTACAGATGGTGAGTACATTTTTTGTAGTTTATTTTCTATTACACATTTATAATGGTACTTAACATATATATACAATTTCTTCTATCCTCTATGGATAGGGTTAGAGATCTGTTAGACATCATAGAGTGTAACGAATTATTGAGCACTCAACCTCAGAAGGTGATTGTAGTGTTTTAACAGTGCTACCAACATATATACATTTACGTTGGTCCTACATAGTTAGCGATCGAGATATGTTCTCTTAAATATATAGTATAGTTGGTTATAGAGTACTCAACTACAGAATGGGGGTAAGTATTGGAAGGTTTACTTGTCACACTACATGAAAGACTATACTATTCGACACTCTTTCCTTGTTTCACTACTCTTTCACTCACTCTTTCCTTGTTCTTGATTTGGTTATAAGTCTTAGACACTCTAGTCTGTCTAGTGAGGTGTATGGTCACCCTGGTTGCTCTATGGGCTCACTTTATAGGATGACGTCCTAGTCTAGGGTGATGGGATGTCGTCCAAGTCTAAGATACTTTAATATTAACACCTGAGCTTACTAATAATATTAGCAGTATAAATCAATTTTATAAATAACTTATTAAAAACTTTCTTTGTGTTTAAAAATCTCCTCTTATTCCCCAACACGATGACTGCGTGGTGAAGAGCAGGAGTCGTATTGTAGCTCAATGTGGCTATGAGAGTATTTTACCACCTTGCTGTGTCCTGGAAGCGAGTAATAGAATTCGTTCGTCCTTTTTGGACAATACATTTTCAGTAAAACAAAATATAGGCCTTCTTTATATATCTGAAAGAAGGTAAATTCGTTCTCACTGCAGCAAATGTGTCTAAAAATGCTTTACTGCAACTAAAATATTCAGTAAACTCTTCACAAAAGTGCTACACTGTAACGCAAATTTTAATAGACATTTTCTAAAGTATCACTGAATCGACACAATTTCTGTGGGTTATAAATCCCTTTTTCGTTTTGTTTCTCAAACGGAGCTCTCCTTCTGTCCTGTGATGAGGGGGGAGCATGTGTCCAGCTCTCGAGAGTGACCTTCACACCTTAGAGTAGGGCCCTCGCCTGCCATAGAGTAGGGCATCAACAAGGAGTGTCTTTGCCCCTTCACTGCTGAAGAGGACATCAACGTGTGGAGCTCGCGCTCTTTTGCTGCTGAAGGAAACATCAACGAGTCGTGTTCTTGCCCTTTCGTTGCAGAGGACAGCAATGCATCTCGCTCTAAGGCTCTTGCAGCTGAAGGAGATACCAGTAGTAAGTGCTCTTGCCCTTTTGCTGCTGAAAATGGGCTCAACGTGGCTTGTTCTTGCCACGTTTCTTGATTTTGAAGAAAGCATGAAGGGGGAACATTCTTGCCCACCCGCTTCTGCAGGAGACCTGAAGGGGACAGCTTGTCGGTGTAGCTCCTGTGGACGTCTGACAAGTGCACCCAGAACCTCTGTGCTGGAGCCAACAGGTGTCTTAGAGGAGACTGGGTCGCGGGCGTGGTGGCTGTGAGTAGCTCTGTGAGTTTATAGGTGCAGCGGCGTGGCTTACAGGTGCAGCGGCGTGGCTTACAGGTGCAGCGGCGTGGCTTACAGGTGCAGCAGAGTGGCTTATAGGTCTAATGGAGTGGCACATCACTGTATGCCATGCGTACATCACTACACCTTTCTATGTGTAAGGTTTCACCAAGGTAATGAATCCATCTACACAACAAGGTCATTTTGATTGACAATTGTGTAGTGAATAGTAATAACACACAAATATATTGAAAATACGATTTTCTCTAAGACTATTGGGTTGGAAGGGGTGAAACAGGTAGTCCACTTAAGTGTGTCTTCACGCCGAAAACGTTTCGCTTAAGGTTTTTAAAACAAAATGAAACCCCTAATATAACCCATGATATCCACTAGTAAGACGTCTTCATCATTGAATATTCATGTACAAACTATGAAATGTACTGTTTTCAAAGTTAAACTTATGGTAGGGTAGGGCAGGTAGTTGACATGTTTGTAGGTCTACCCCGTACAAGTGATATATTTCGTTGATATCTGAAGTTGCAATTTAGTCGTTCACATTCCAAGTGTCATTTTTGGATACATACAAGGAGTGTAAAAATGGACTGCAAACTTTAAGCGTATATTCAGCGACAAGCGAAATACACCTTTCGGTGTATGTATATTTTGTGTGTGAAAATGGTGAAAAAGAGTGGTATGTAGAGTTGCAAATACCAAAAGTTTGACAAACATCGGTAATGTCCCCCCTCTCCCCCCTGCGGTGTTTAAGACAGAAAACGGAAACTGTCTCCATGGAAGAATGGGAACGGGGGGACGTGGAGGCCAAGCTGAGATAAGTACGGGTGATGATAGCTCGTGGACGTCACCGTTACGTTCCTTGCGTTAAGATTATCGTCTCCTGGGGCGAAGGTTAGGCAAGAGAGGCTTCAGATCGTGGGAGAAATACTGATCCCCCTCCCACCCTGTCCCATCCCCCTGCGGTTGGAGCCGTGAGAAAAGTGCCCTTCCCATTTCAACAAGTTTTACAATTGCCGAGTCCTGTCCAAGTCCCACGGCTATTGTGGGCTCCCGCAAGCCTTCCGTTTTTAGAGAAAGTTTCTACACAGCGGTGCGAATTTTGTATGTGGAATCCGAAGATTTGGGTTTGTAAAAAAATACGTATATTGTGTTTATGTTGTGATTTATTCACCTTATTTAAAGGAATATAGCAATATATATTTGCAGATGGATTATTCCCAGCTTAAATTAAATCTGTATAAAAAAAGAAGTTGAATGCAGAGGGTTGAAATAGTAATTACAATTATAACTGCTGATCCTATAATGGTCTGAACTATCGAGTGTATACATGTGTATACGTGAAAACTACAAAATAAATCTAAACACACACACACACACGCTAACTAAACGCACTTGTAAATGCTCTAAAAAAGCCCTGTGCTCATGTGCCACACATGTCTCTCAAGCTCTCAGACACACGCGACAAAACTGGTTCCAACCCGAGGCAGTAGGGAGACGCCCCCATGAAACTCGAGACTTACAAACCATAGGGTAGTTTATGAAGCATCCGGAGCATGTTGAAGATCCCATGCCAATGGACAACAATCGTGGTACTTAAAGCGCCTCTCAACGTTGACACCCTAATACCAGGTTGCCTCCAGGTACCTCCTGCAGCGGCCTCGTAGGGCACCGCGTAAAGGGCCTGTCATCATCTCCAGAGGGGGTCTCTCTCTCGCCAGAGTGTGTTGAGTTAGTCTCCCAAAGCTATGCCGTCAGGTAGTGTGTAAGGAGGCCCTCATTGTCTATACAAGAGAACGTTTTACTGTAGGGTGAACTGGTACTCAGTTGTCCCCCGGGGCCTCCCATGGATACCCCCGTCAGGTACCACGCAAGGAGGTCTTCGTTGTCCCAAGAGGACCCCTTTGTGCTGTAGGGTATTTTGGTATCCAGCAGTCACGGCCAAGTCTCCGTCACTTTCGTCGAATTCCTTACAGGGTAGACTTCCTATTGCAGGATGTTCTGGTAGCGTCCTTGGTGCTTCTTCTGAAGGGATCGTCAACTCCCACCCTCTCTTCAGGTCCCACATCAGGAGGCCCTTCACTGTCTCTAGGAGAGTTCGTAGCGTGGAATTCTCCCAGACCTTTCCGGGACCTCCAGCAGCTAGTGCGGTTCCCTACCGACTTCATTCTTTTGTCCAAGCGGGAGCGCCTCTTGGACAATTCGAAAGTGAACGACTATAGAGATGGCGCGATAGGCTAGCGGTACCCTGCCCTTCTTCCTGTACCGGGTACCGCTCGTTAAGATACCTTTGATAGCATGTGCGGTGTACAGGTGGTATATTTGATCTGGGAATGATGTCTTCAACTGGAATGTGATTGTGTGTGTGTGTTCACCCAGATGTGCCAACCTTCCTCTGCTAAAGCCATGCCTTACAACTTTCAGTTG